AGTTCAGATCAGGCGGGCCGTTTTTCCCAATCACACCCTCCAGGTCAAGCTGTCATTGCCCACGTGAGCATTGAAGTCCCCCAGCAGGACAATGGAGTCCCCTGATGGAGTACTATCTAGCACTCGTCCCAGGGACTCCAAAAAGGGTGGGTACTCTGAACTGATATTTGGCCCATAAGCACAAACAACAGTCAGGACCCATTCCCCGACCCGAAGGCGCAGGGAAGCTACCCTCTCATCCCCCGGGGTAAACCCCAACACACAGGCGGAGAGTCTTGGGACTAACAAAAAGCCAACCCCAGCCCTCCGCCTCTCACCCGGAGCAACTCCAGCAAAGGAAAGTGTCCAACCCCTCTCAAGGACTTGGGTTCCAGAGCCAATGCTATGTGTCGAGGTGAGTCCGACTATATCTAGCCGGTACCGCTCAACCTCTGCCACAAGCTCCTGCTCCTTCCCCGCCAGTGAGGTGACGTTCCATGTCCCGAAAACTAGTTTTCTTGTCCGGGGATCGGACCGCCAAGGCTCCCGCCTTGGTCTGCCACCAGTTCCACATTGCACCGTACCCTTCATGTTCCTCCTGCGGGTGGTGGGTCCACAGTCGGATGAGCCCATGTATCCGGTTCGGGCTGGGCCCGGCCGGGCCTCATGGGCAACAGCCCGGCCACCAAGCGCTCGCTCACGGGCCCCAACCCCAGGCCTGGCTCCAGGGTGGGACCCCGGTAACCCTCCGGGCCGGGTACTCAGACTCTTTGACTTTGCCTCCATGAAAAATCCTGTGAACCGTTCTTTGTCTCACCCCTCACCTAAGACCAATTTGTCATGGGAGACCCTACCAGGGGCACAAAGTGCCCCAGACAACATAGCTCCTAGGATCGTTAGGGCACTCAAACTCCTCCACCACGATAAGGTGACGGTTCAATAAAATATAACATTTAAAATGACAACATGATTGTTGTTGACCATGGCAGGACCAGAACAGAGAACAAAGTCCTTTTTTATCTAGCTAGCTGCTTAAAATCGCTGTCATTTGGAAATGAGATTGCATACACATATGAATTGAGATCATGATTTATTTACGATTAATTGTGCAGCCCTAAGCCTAAGTCACATCCATCTACTTCTGGACCATGAGACTCCGGAAGAACGAAAAAATGAATTCAAGTCAAGGGGGCTAAAAACGCTATTTTCTAATTCCGCTTGTTATGTTCCATGGATGTCACTTGTGATGTCCGTGAATTTTAAAAACATATTTTGATACTAAGAAAGTAGGGCTGGGCAATATGGCCTAAAATAAATATCACAATATATTGAGTATTTCACCTCGATAACGATAAATGGATGATCACTACATGTATGCGCAGAAACAAAAGTTGGCCACTAGTTGGAGCTGTCACGTGTGTCACATCTATTACGTTTAGTCACATTTCTATGGGACTCAAGGTGGTACAGCTTCTTAAAGAGACATGAACGCTGCCAACCTACACACATCTTCTCATTTTTTTATTATCAAATTTATTGACATGGGAAAAATGATCTTTATAAGAGTCCGAATTTTGTATTTAGCAGACGCTTTTGTCCAAAGCGACTTACTAGTGATAATCATTATGTTGCCCTTGAGGCTAACAACAACTTAACGTCAATCATGGAGAGGAGGGAACAAGGAGTGGACAGTAGAGAGGGGGGACGGGTGCAGGGAGGGTGCTAGTTCAGAAGATGCTCTCTGAAGAGCAGGGTCTTCAGGAGTTTCATGAAAATTGAAAAGGAAGCCCCTGTTCACGTAGTGCTTGAAAGGTCATTCCACATTTGTGGAACGATGCATGAGAAGAGTCTGGGTTGTCCTGAGCATGGTGTAGGCACTGCTAACCGACGATCCAGTGATGACCGGAGCGGCCGGGCCGAGACGTAAGCCTTTGCAAGAGGATTCAGGTAGATGGGAGCCATACCATCTCGGTCTTTTTATGCTAGTGCTAGCAATTTGAAATTGATGCGTGCTGCTAGTGGTAGCCAGTGGAGCTCAATGAATAGAGGGGTGATGTGTGCTCTTTTTGGCTGATTGAAGACCAGATGCGCCACTGCGTTCTGGACCATTTGAAGAGGTCTCACAGTACAGGCTGGAAGACCAGTTAGAAGGGCATTGCAGTAATCGAGGCGGGAGATGACAGAAGATTGCTCCAGGAGCTGGGTGGCATGTTGTGTTAGGTATGGTCTGATCTTTTGTATGTTATACAGCACAAAGCGGCATGAACGAGCAACAGAGGCAACATGATCTTTAAAGGTCAGGTGTTCATCAATCACAACACCCAGATTTTGAACTGCCTTTGAAGGAGCCAGAGATAGGAAGTCATTTTGGATTGAGATATGCTGTATGGATGGTTTTGCTGGGATGACAAGTAGTTCAGTTTTAGAGAGGTTGAGTTGGAGATGGTGGGATTTCATCCATTTTGATATGTCAGAGAGACAGTTTGATATTCATGCAGAGACAATGTGGTCGTCCGGTGGAAATGACAGATAGAGCTGGGTGTCGTCTGCATAGCAGTGTTAGGAGAAGCCATGTGATCGAATGATCTCACCCAGTGAGGTGGTGTATATGGCAAAGAGAAGAGGTCCTAGTACAGAGCCCTAGAGGACTCCTGTGGCAAGATGGTGCACGGTAGAGGATTGTCCAAGCCAAGATACACTGAATGATCGTCCTGTGAGGTATGATTCAAACCAGGCGTGTGCTTTCTCTGTGATGCCCATGCTAGAGAGTGTGGACAAAAGGAAGCCATGTTTTACAGTGTCAAATGCAGCCAATAAGTGGAGCAGGATAAGCACTGACGATTTGGCAGTCGCTCTAGCTTCTTTTAAGCATTCCATCACTGCTAACAGAGCAGTTTCAGTGGAGTGGCCCTTTTTGAACCCAGATTGGTAAGGGTCAAGCAGACAGTTTTGTGAGAGGTATTGGGTATAGGTTTTGTGTGAAAATAAGTCCAGGACTACAAATGCGCTTCACTAAAGTGACGTCATCGACCCAGATATGGAGAAAAACAGAGGAAAAATGGCTGTAAGTTCAGGGAACCTCAAATCCTTTCTTCAGGAGGAAAAAAACCACTATAAATCTGGCCATGTGGTAAGTAGCAGCTACGCTAGAGGAGATTATGCGGTGACATCACATATGCAATGTGCTGATATCTGGTTTGTTATCATTCTAATTACAAACTTTTAGAAGCTGATGAATCTCAAAGTATGGTTGAAACACTCATCATTAGTTTTCATGTAAATTGCAGTACAACATATGTGTGATCCAGGACGTAAGAAAATAGCGTTTTTAGCCCCGTTGACTTGCATTCATTTTTTCGTTCTTCCGGGGACCCATGAGCCGACCGTAAAGGGAGGAGACTTAGGCTCCCTATATACTTTTATGCTCACTTTCAGATGACTAAACGCCATTGGTCATATATGTTTGATAACATGTAATGTTCATCTCCTCTGCCAGGATTAAAGCCATAAAAACACACCACTGCACTTCTCAAATGATGTTGGGAGTAAATAAGCCGTTAGGCCACTCGTATTGAAGTAAGCTACATAGATATGAAATCACATCGCTGCAATAGTCTTTTATTTAGAAAGTGATGGTGGGTTTTACACTGAAACTGTGTGTGATTTCCTGTCTAGCCCTATGTTACCTGCGCAAATTGTCGTGTCCCAGAAGTGGTTTTCAGACAATAAAACCCGACCCCATCTTTAGTCTGGGATGCGCCTGAAAATGTCCATGCCGTGGCTGGTGTGTATCACCTCTATAGACTATAATGGATTCTAATTTGAAGCAGTGACTTTCCGCTGCTGATCTGCTCTGCTAATGCTTCTGTGACCGTGTGAGCGTCCTGTCACAGTGTCCGATTGATCATGCGCTCTGGCTACTTGGCCAAGGGGATGTGCCTTTGGCTGACTGGTTAGCGTTCGTGACTCCTGGGGATCGAATCCCGCCCGGGCCCTCGATACTCCACCTTGCCACACTTCCAGTGTAAAGTAGGGGTAAGGGATCAGTTGTGCTTTTGAGTATTTATTTGCTTAAATTTGGTCGGACTGTTGTTAGTTTTTTGTTTGTTTAGTTTTCCCCATTCGTGCCACCATAATTTGTTAGTGGTTGCCAGTTGGAGTACATTTTAGTTAACATGTTAGTGGTTCAAATATGTCATACACATTTTAATCTCTCTTACCCCGGCTTTCCACAGGAGCCGTCAGCAGCACGTTACTGCAGCAGCACGTCATAGCTGCTGATAGGAACCGCTGTGGTCAACAGAACCCTTTCCACTGGAGCCGTCAGCAGCGCGAGTCGGCCGCGTCTCAGGAGCAGCATGTCGCGGCCTTTACGCTCCGGTTCTATTTTCTACGCGCGACGCCTCTGAAACGGGTCAAGTTCGACATTTTTGGGGAAGGAAAGACAGGAAATCGGACGCGGAAATGGAGAGAAGCTCCCGAGATTTTCAGAATAAAGAACGTACTGCCTTCCGGTTGCTTTACTTTTAAAAAAGGTTACTAACTGTGCGGCTCCGTGAGAAGTTATCACCTAGCTAGCGGTCTCCTTTGTTTTTCAGGTCCGTATTGGCGATTATAAAACGGACAGAACATAAAACACAAACCATGTTGTAGTTTTCTCCTGCTTGTTGTTGTGTTTACTGACGACGTCACTTGTGTGACTTCGTGCTCGGTCGGTGACAGCTGCTCCCCTGCTGCTTTGCGTCTCGTGGGAAGGGCCAATCAGCAGCTTACGCTTGCAAGACGTGCTGTTGCAGTAACGTGCTGCTGACGGCTCCTGTGGAAAGCCGGGGTTAGGTTCGACAGGATGTTTCTCATTCTCAGAAACATTGTTTGGTTTCATCATCCTAATTTCTGTGTTTTTTTTATGATCAAAATCAAAGTTCACATCTTGTTTGATTCACCATCATGTTCTATTGTCTGGCACTCATGCGTCAAGCTTCTTTTTAACTTTTTTCTCCATGGTTTGTTTTATATTTTAGATCTATACACACCTTCGATTCTACACTGTCCCTAAGGAGCAGCGTTACATCATCCGCATACTCTTCATCGTTCCAGTTTATGCCTTTGATTCTTGGCTCAGCCTCCTTTTCATCAGCAACGACCAGTACTACGTATACTTTGATTCTGTTCGAGATTGCTACGAAGGTATGCATCACCTGCTGTTATCTGTCTGTTATTGTTCTGTTCTGGGTAGCCACAGTTGTGTTCTTACTAGTTTTTCAGTTGGCAGTTACAAACAGAAAGACAAGCAAGTGACCAAACAAGTTTGTCTTCACAGTCTTTGTTCTCATGGAGATAGAGCTCACCTTCCGAGGTGTTGGGTTTCTAGCTGCATCCATTTTTACTGTGGTGTGTTTGGATGTTTAGCAGAATTCATGATAGTTTTTCTGTGATCTTCAACATTCAGATACGACAAACACTGTTCTCCAGATTGACATTGTGCAGCTAAGATATAATTAAGTTTCAAGACTAAAAGACTTCACTTCAATCGCAAAGGTGAATCGTATGCAAATTGGATTACAAGCAATTTGAGAGATTAGATTATAGTGTGTTTGCAGGCCAGTCTTGTGACTGATTGAGTGCGATACATCAGGAAAAACATTTGCAGCTGCAGCTAACTTGACCAGACACCTCCTGTATTTGCTTCCTTTAATCCTTTCTTAAATAGCAACAAAGGATTAGGGACGGATTTCCAAGACACAGAACCCTCGGAAGCCTCTTAATGCAAAGACGGAAACGTTCTTTGTTCCAAAATGTTGAACTAATTATTTTTTTATCATGCGGGAGTTGATTTCCTTCTGAAATTGTTCGACCTTCACAGTGAAGTAATGCTTGAATGTGATGAGAAATGATTCCACTATTGAAATCATTCTGTGTGAGATGTTCGATGTGGAGGGGGAAAAAAAGGCGACTTCTCTTTGTGTTGCAGCATTTGTCATCTATAACTTCCTGAGCCTGTCCTTTGAGTATCTGGGAGGAGAGAGTGGAATCATGTCCGAGATCCGAGGGAAACCCATACAGTGAGTCCAGATCAGCAAAATCACAAGAATTTCTTATAAATCCTGCAGCATTCATTTCCTGACCTTAAATTAACATTTAGTTGAACCCCACATTAGAAGTCCTGGGAATAAATGACACTCGCTGGGTATAACTGGTATATAACTGGGTATAACTGTTTGTTATAGCCACAGAGCAGCAGCTCTTTGTTGGGCACTTTAGGCGGTGCAGACGATAAAGTTGAGTCTCTTTTTAATTGTCATGACTCAAAGTGCATTTGTTTCAGAGAAAGTTTGCTGTTTTGCTCTGGTCGACTGGGTTCATAAGGATTTCTAAAGATTTCCAATTTTTTTGTTGCAAAGTCTACAAAAGGTCAAAAGTTCCTAGCAATTTAAATTGCATTGAACGATCCCAAGGATTTGAAAGATTGCTTAGTGTCTTCCAAGTAAAAGCATCACTCATGACGATAAAGTTTAGGTTGAATTTCATTTATCCAAAGTCTGGTGCAAGAATTAGGGACCATGAATTCCCCCAAGAGAAGAAGCTCCTCTAATTGGTGTTACGTTTCAGGCGGGTGCGTGTGCTTATGTGGCAAGTGGGAGTCGTACCAAATAAATTAAAGGTTAAAAAGGTTGCAACAACGCCACCCTGGGTTAACCCACCCAGAGAAGGGTAGCATGAAGGCCCGTAGGTTCAGAAAATCACGAGGGTAACAGATGGTGGCTTTCCAATAAAACAAATCTTTATTAAAATGTCTAAGCTAAAATCATACAGAGGGAGTTACGTGCTCGGAGTCCAGTATCACCAGTCAGTCCACCCAAAGTAACCACTTTGGCCTAGGGCCAACAAATACTAAATGAAGTTCAACCTACACAAATTAAACACACAAAACACACCAAATAATAATAATGAAATATGAAAAACATGGCAAACAAAATGGAATACTTCATTTTAAGCCTGTGGTCTTTCTGGTGGTTGCCCCAGCAACCAGGCGTCCGACGCCCAACAATTCATTAACATAAATCAGTGTAGATGAAACAGACAAGTACAGACAAAACAGATCAATACAGACGAAACAGCAGTGATGCAGCCCTCTGGGCACACCATTGGCTCCTGAGATGGACTTGGTCGTGGCAGGACGGCGAGATGGAGCAGCACAGGGACCGGTGTACCGCCGACGACATCAAACGCTCCGCTGATCTCGGTGGAGCACTGCAGGCAAAGCCGGAGGACGAAGCAGCTTTTAAGCCAAACAGCGCAGGCAGCCACACTGCAAACAAACAAAACTGACATGGTGCCCCTGGATCAGCACAACCCTCCCCAAGCAGAGGCGAGGACCTACGGTCGTTGCGCCGCTGGATCGGATCAGCCTTCATACAGCTGACACACCCGCATGGGCAGAGAGTTGACAAGGAGTACCAGGATGCAGTGTTAACCCTCTAATCTCATGCACAGCTCCATTCTGAGATCACCCGCTACCAACAAATCAAGACGGAGAAATGAGCACGAATTAACGCCGTACCGGCAACACGGAGGGAGTGCACCCACGATCACAGCCTGCAGTTGGAGCCTCTCACCACCCCAGCACCTGAAGTGCCACACCAAAGCTGTCACGCTGAAAGAGCAGGCAGCTGCCCCTCACTGGGTGGTTCACCCTGCCCTGCAATCAATCCAATGTGAGCCTCCTGGCTCTGTACTGGTATGGGACCAGACAAGATCCATCTGTCCCATCACACTTACAAACCTTTAAGAATGATTGCCTTGTATGTTGTACTCTGGAGGGAAAAAGCTCTGGTGCGCCAGTTTCAGGAAGTAGAACATTGCCACGTCAGAGAGCTTCAGACGACAGGATTTGGAGTCTTACGTCGTGATATTTGGAGATCTTTCCTCTGATTGGCTAACAGCAACATCACTCTACCACTGACTCACTTTGCTTTGCAACATGGATATTTTATCTCCACGAGTAACACAAGCTTGAAGGAGCTTCTGCTATGGTGGAGTTACTAATGCTAACGGTTAGCTTCTACTAGTCGTGACATTTTCTGTTTCCTGAACACCAAAACAGTAAAAACCTTCCCCGTCGTGAGTCAAGATGGGTGAATTTATGAATGTTAGATGACAGTGTGACGTAGATCTGTCAGGATTTTCTAATCCTAGAGTTTCACGGTCTATTTTCTATCAGAAGCTAATGCAGCAGATAGGTGTAGGAGACTATTTTCATGTTCAGCCGGCATGAAAACTCCGTGACCGAGTATCATCAGAAATAATCATTAAAATGGTTTTTCAATGCTCCACGCCTTTAACTAGTCCACCAATCACAGCCTGCTAACTTTGACAGCTGCAAGAACACTTATCAGTGAAATAAATAATACCAATAATCATTATGGATTATATTTTCTAATTATATAAGTCATAAATAATTCTGTCTCATAATGTGGCTTTCTTTTTTATCAAGAAAAATTGTCTCCATGTTTCTGCTCTTTGATAAATCTGTTTCAGGTTTTACTTCCTTTTGTGTCCACAGGTCAAGCTGTCTGTACGGGACATGTTGTCTCGTTGGAATGAGTTACTCCATCGGCTTTTTAAGATTCTGCAAGCAGGTGAGCATTTAAAATCGTTAAAATTCTTTCCACATTTTGCAGAAGCTTTAGTGTCATTACAGGAAGGTTTAACAAATCCCTGATATGGAAAGGCAGCTTGGAGTTATGGTGGTTTTTGGAGATAAGGTTATAATCTGCTCTTACATCCTAAACAGTTTTTGGCGTTTCACTGTAAACTCATTTATCACGTTGTAGGTTGCCCGTGAGACTTTCTTGTGTACAAAAGTGAGAACTGTGGTGTTCTATTGGATCCAAATGAATTATTCATAGTGCCAGTGGGCGTGACCAACAGAAATGTTCTGCTCTGTTCTCCTAAACCACAGTTAATACAGTTTTTATTTATACCTGTCGGTACAGGATCACAAGGTCTACTTAGTTTTAGGGCTGCAACTAACGATTATTTTCATAATCGATTAATCTGTCAATTATTTTTTCGATTAATCGATTAATCGGTTTGTTATTGTTTAGCTATTTAACCTATACAAGTGATGAATACATTTCAGTTAAGAAAAAGAAAAACATAAGAGAATTGTGCAGTTGACTGCAATCTATTTTATTGCACATGAACACAGTCAGTGGTGTAAAATGAGCTAAACAGTGCAAAATATCAGTCCAGAATAATTTTTTGGCATCAAAATATAAGAGGTAAATTCCATAAAAAATAATGTAGAATCTAGAATAGAGTTTGTAAGTGGTATGCATTGCTGGGGGGTGAGTGTCTTGTTCCCCATGTAGTTGTCCCAGGGTATCTGCGGGTCCTTAAAAAGTCTTAAATTTGCTTTTCCAAATTTAAGGCCTTAAAAATCCTTAAAAATTACAAACAATCCTTAAATAGAGTTTCCAAAGGTCTTAAATTACCAAAGACCCAATAAACAAGACTCTTATTTCTATAAAAAATTTTGTGAATTTCTAGTTTGTGTTCAGCATGTTTGTGTATGACATTTGTATTAGCGGAACCATACACATTCAGTTGGTTGTGAAAGGGGGCTATTTTTAGATGAGCACATTAGCTGGTTAAGCTAGTGGGAGCTTGCGCCATGGGGAAGTGCAAGTTTAGTGGTAACTGGATGGTTAATCCCACATTCGCCACGTGGTTAGCACCGATTCCAGGCAATAGCTGGAAATTATAGCTTAAATTTAATTTAAACAAATAGCTTAAATTTGGTCAAAGTGGCCTTAAAAAAGGTCTTAAAAAGTCTTAAATTTGGCTCCCTTAAACCTGCAGATACCCTGTGTCCATCGTTTCTTGTTTTTTCTGCATAAGAAACACAAATAGACTGAAATAAGTACATATATAAAATAAAGCAGCACACACACTACAACACTAAATCAATATTATATTATTTGAATTAACAATATACAGTGATCATTTATTTTGACAAAAATGTGTTGTGAGGCATTTTACAGCATTAGACAGTAAAACAGCCTTTTAATAGTAAAAAAAAATGACTTTCTGAATTTCTCCTGTATTTAAAAATTGAAAGCGTACAACTATGCCGCGTTATATTCACCTGGACACAGCTCGTCTGTATATTTTTCACCGCGGAGTTGTCCTTTTTTGAATGAGGAACATAGTTATGGGTTTATGCCGTTTTTCACTTAACGAGAACATTCTTATAAACAGATGTGCTAAATTTGGCAAGCGCATGATACACAACACGGAGGAGATTCACGATTGCATCTAGTCAATCAGAAGTAGAACACCATAGACTGACGCGGCAAAAAAACATGTTTAACATCCACTATAACGAACTCAGCTCCCAAATTTGAGCTGCGTTAGCTTGTTTATTTTCTGTTACTTACCGGATTTACCGGACTTTCCTCTGCTGCATCAGCCCCCACATGTTTTCGTCTTAAATGTTCACTTAGGGACGTCGTGCTTCCGTGCCATGCTAGATGGTTTTTGCATATTTTGCAGGTCACCCGTCTTTTCATGGCATCTAGAGTGAAGTGCTCCCATACTCGTGAGGTTTTTGTCCGGGGTTTCTCTTCAGTTTGTCGCTTCTATTTTTCTTCCGTATTTCTTCTTGTTCTGCCATCTCTCACAGCAAGATGCGCGTCAGTAAAGTGTTACGTCGTGAAAACCGAGGGCACTTATTGGCTCGTTTCTTCTTCTACGGCTCCACTGGTAGATCAGTGGCTCATTACTGCCACACACTGGCGGCAAATTTAACAGATTGTAACCGATGTCAGATTGTGGTAAAAAATAGACTTTATGCGGTAAAATGTTATTATTAAACAACTAATCGATGACTAAAAAGTTGTTAACTAATAATCGATTATAATCGATTAAATCGATTAGTTGTTTCAGCTCTACTTAGTTTACTTTAACGACTTTAATAGTGGAATAGAGTATAATATCATGTAATTTCATGGAGGCAATGATGGCAAAATATTACAGAAAAAGTATGTAGAATTACTTCCTTTGTGAAAGGATTTCTAACATAGTTCAGCTTGACCTGTTTGTGCACTTTTCTAGCATGGCGTCGATTACGGGATGAAGCCACATGACCCTGCAAACCGTCGGCGTCGCATGGACGTGCAGATCATGTCTATATTAAGTCTGTCGGTCCAGACCACGCCTGTAGGATGTCCAAACTAGGTCTTTGCACAGTGGGAAAAGTTCTAAAGTCAGCCATCCAATAGGAAGTGACCAAGTTAAAGACCATTTATTTTCCTATACTTTTCATCACAAAACTTTTCAATTACAATCATCTTATGTAGATTAATGAATGTTAGTGCTGTATTGGTCAAATTTAGAAAAGAACATCATGTTTAACATTGTGCAAACTGTTACCACACACAGTATGTGTTACTAATGACTTCCAGCCACATTTTCAAACTTTTACTCAGTATCATTGAATTAACGGAGGATTGCATTTGCCAAGTTAAATGATAAATGACCCGCACTTGTAGAGCGCCTCTCAGAGTAAGGACTCCAAGCGCTTTACACTACAGTGTATCATTCATCCATTCACACACACATTCACACACTGATGGTGATGAGCTACGATGTAGCCACAGCTGCCCTGGGGTGCACTGACAGAGGCGAGGCTGCCGAGCACAGCCGCCGCCGGTCCCTCCGATCACCACCACCAGCAGGCAAGGTGGGTTAAGTGTCTTGCCCAAGGACACAACAGCAGAATTCTCTGTCCGGAGCCGGGATCGAACCTGCAACCTTCCGATTACTGGACAACCCGCTCAACCTGTTGAGCTACTAAAGTTGATTAGCTGTGGTAGCCATCTTGGATGAGGCTTACTTTCATTGTTGTTTCAGTTTTGTGTGTGTGTGTGTGCGTGCGTGCATTCACACGCGTGTATGGAGTACTTTCTAAACGTTAAATGAAAGTACACTCAGCATTTCTTTAACGTTTTCTCCTTGCAGACAATCAAGGTCGACTCCCAACAGCTAAAAGCAAACTTTTAAGCAGAAACCCGTCACAATTGGCTATAGCACTCAGAATTTGTTTGTGTTTGGTATGGTTCAATTAGGGTTGATATCATAAGATAATCAGTTGATGCACATCCAATGATCTCCCTGAGAGTTTTATTAAAAACCATCATGAGATATTTTGCTAACAAACACCAGTGCAGTCAACAGCGTTATCACCCACATTTCACCCTTTGGCAGCTAGCAATACGTTATCACCTGTAAAGAAATAAACTGTCAAATAAGTGTAGATTTTTACCTGAAAGCTATACAAAGTGGTTGAGGTTTTACTTGCACACAGAAGTAATCTGTGATTTGGTGCCATCTGTGATGCGGAAAAAAGCCTCGGGCCATATTGTCTTATCTCACATTTGTGTCATGCAGTGCACTCTGATTTGTAACTTTGCTTAGCTTTACAGTTTATTGCTTGATCTATAAAGAGCGCAAACTGTAGGAATGTCGTAACAAACTCCCAACTTGAGGCGGTACCGTGTTGACTTTTTACTCACTGCCACCGGGAACCCACATTGTGTTCTGAATATCAAACATGTCAGCGAGTGTGTTAAATTGTTTGCTTTGAGGATATTCAGAGTGACAAACTGGCAGTAGAACAGGCCCAGGGCAAATAAAGGCTGTCAGGGCTGGAAGCTTCAAAGTAAATCAGTGGTAAACTATTATGAATTCTTATTAATGTCAGTTTGCCAACGACTCTGGTCGTCCCAGACCAGATTTCCTCTGGCTGATCAAGCTGAACACTCCTGGCTTGTTGCTATAATGTGTAACACCTTCTGTCCAAAACTTTTCTTTGGGCTTTTTCAGCACAGCACAGTGGACACCAGTCCTTTAGTCCTCTCCTGCAGTCAGCGCTCCATCGTCAGCATCCTCTGCTGTCCTGCATCAGTATCCTGGTTATTGATTTAACTAGTAGAAGGTGAAGTTAGGGGTTAGTTTTAAATTAAAAACACAGATTGAGCTTATAAAGAAATTCTCTTTTTCACGTAAAGCCGCGGCTAAAACGGTTTGCTAAAATTGACGTTTAAGGAAGAGTGATCTGTACAGGAACTAGACTTTAATGAAACAATCTTTCACCTCTTGGCGATTGCCAGTTGACCACCACAGAGACCGGTGTGTTGCTGCTTGGTGCCTGGAAATGGTCCAACCTCACATGAAAATCAGAATGACTTGTTTTTTAAACCTGGGGTGGGCTTTAGATGTGAAAGTTGATGCATTTGTTATCATTTTATTCATCAGTGAAACTAGAAGCTGTCCTTCCTGCTGATTCAGATACTTTAGAGGAGTGTGATTAGGAAGTGGTTTGTTTTTGAAGAGCATCGCCAAACCTTTCTCGTCTCATTTTATGTACAAATTGATTCTGATGTCCTCGTCTTTCTTTGTTGTGTCTTGCCCGTTGTCACTCGGCGTCTCATTCTGAGTTGTCGTGTATCCTCCAGGCGACTCTCCAGTTCTGCGTTGTCAAACCCATCATGGCAGTCATCACCATCATCCTGCAGGCCTTTGGCAAATATCATGACGGAGATTTTAAGTGAGCAGCACCTCTATTTGCATTCCTCTCTTTGTGTATTCTAATCATGCATGTTGTTCCCAGCGGGCTTACTTCCTGTTTAGGTGCACATGAAAGCAGTTAGGAAATGGAGACGGCCGTGTCACCCTTTCACAGGAGACAGGATGGAAATGTTTAGAGTTACCCATAAAATACCGCCTTAAACTTTACAAGGACATGATGTTTTCTTCCTTTGCGGCAATTACAATACTTATTAAATACTTTAAATATTATAATGAGGACTGAAATAGAAGATTATATTACAGCTTTTATTCTAAGTACTTTACAATGGAGGTTCATGGTTATCGTTATGTGTTACACTTGAAAAAGCAGTATTATGAGGTGAGTGGCTCTGCTTCATTTCATACTTTGCATTTCAATTGATATAAAGGGTGGGCATGAATTACGCTTAGTTTAATTAAACTGCATCTTAGAACTTCAGATAAATCTCAGCAGAATAAGAAGTTGGTTTCCTCTGTGATAAAATAGTCTTCAGCACATAATCAGTTATAAAAAATGCAGCTCACAAACTCAGCTTGAATCATTTTCTGGTGCCTCTCCAGCTCGCTGTCTCAGCGTGAAGAGTCAGCTGTGGCAGCTCTTGTTTCAGTGTGAAGCAGAAGTTTCCAGTCGGCTTCTTATCGTCACACTCTTACCACCGCGTGAAAGGACAATCTCGACTCTGAGCTTCTTATTTCTCGCTTTACTTCAACAACAAAATGATCAGGAAGGAAGAGCTGTCGTTCGCCTCTTCACGCTTCACGGCAGGACCTACATGATTTAAAGAATGTTTACTTACACGCTCTCAGTCAACCATGCACTCGTCTGCTCGGGCGTAATTAGCCTAGTCACAAATGAGTCTTCAGAGAGGCTCTCTAGACCAGGCATGTAGAAAGGTAGAAATGTCTGTTGATTTGAAACTTCCATGAAGCAGAGTGGTTAAGTGTGAAGTATAGGTATGTTCTGTTTGTAAATGGTATGTGACGCTTGTCTAATTGTTGTCCTTTGTAGTGTGAATGGAGGGTACCTCTACATCACAATCATCTACAACTTTTCCGTCAGCCTGGCCCTCTACGCTCTCTTCCTCTTCTACTTTGCTACAAGTGACCTTCTCCGGCCGTATGAACCGGTGCTCAAATTTCTCACGATTAAATCCGTCATCTTCTTGTCCTTCTGGCAAGGTGAGTTCATCACTCCTGTTTCGTTTTGATCACAACCAGCAGCGACACGTGTTAATCGAGAGAGAACCCATTGTTTTGCAGGAATGGTTCTCGCCATTTTGGAACGCTGCGGCGTCATTCCCAATGCCCTTTTTATTGACGGACAGGAAGTCGGAGCGGGCACCGTTGCAGCCGGTTGGCAGAACTTCATTATCTGCATTGAAATGTTCTTTGCTGCCATCGCCCTCCGATACGCCTTCACCTGTACGGTTTACCAGGAGAAGAAAAGAGACGTGCCAGGTGAGTTCAGGTTGGACAGAAAAGCAGAAAGTGGCTGGAACTGATTGTTACACAAGGTCTTCTACTCAAAAACATGTTGACATGTTCTCGGGCTAATTGCCCTTCTCACTCGCTGGATGACAGTCCTGAAAGTGTTCAAAGTTACACAGCTGTAGTTGCCTTTGTCAGTCGGACCGGCCGCACTGACATTTAACTCACAAAGTCCGATGGTGCCCTTTAAGAAGTGTTGTAAAGCCCAAGCTTTCCCTACAACCTGTCAACATAGCTGGCATTAACTGGTGCCATTGTTTTTCAGCCACCTACAGAAACCTAAAACCATTTAAAACAGCAAACCTTCCTCTGTTATAAAACTGTTGATCAGTTTGTTTCTTTAAGGAAGAGCTAGAATAAACAGTATTAACCACAGTCCATTAATAACTATAGTGTATGGTAATGTGAACATTTGCTTTGTAAAGGTCAAAGCTGTTGCAAAGTTATGAGGCAGCAGTACAAGATAATGCATCGTACTGTTTTGATTGGAAAGGCCGTGGTTTCTCAGACTTTTCTCCAATATAGCAATAAAATTTGACTTAGCGCTGTATCGCAACTTCAAAAAGTCAGTCTGCACAGAAACAACAGAGTTCTCAGGTCCCAGTTTCCTCCGAGATGACCAGAAGAACTGTAAGCACATGCTCTGTGGTGAAATGAGTCCACATTTCAGCTTTTGTTTGGTGTAAAAACACAGATGTCAGCTTCTATGAGCCAAAGATTGAATGGCATGCATGCAAACTGCAATAAAACATACATAGGAGAAACCGGACGCCAACTCAACACACGAACAATAGAACATGGAAAGGAGTGTGAGAAGGAGGCAAGTCGAAAACGCACAAGAGCAGCAAAAGAAGAAGCAGAAAGCACAATAAAGAAGTCAGCCGTAACAGATCACTGCATAAGAGAAAACCATATAATGGACTGGGACAACACAAGGATCATAACCACCAAACAACAGAAATACAAAAGATGGATAAAAGAAGCCATCGAGATAAGGAGACGTGGATGTGGGACAATGAACAGGGACGATGGAGTTTACACGTTGCACTGCGCATGGGACTGCATCGTCGGAGAGGGGAGAGCGGGCAGTAGAGGGCGACAACGTCCTCTGCTGCCCGCGGATAAACGGAGAAGGAAGTGACGCGCCACCTTTAGCGTCAGCCTGAGGAAGTTTGCAGCCGCAAACAAAACGTAGCGGGAAAACGGGTAAAACTGCTCTGTGTTTTAAAAAAAGAACTACAGCATGGAATTAGAGATACAACACAGCAAGAACACACCTAAGAACTTCATCTAATTAGCTAAATAAAATTTCTTTAACCAAAAATAACATCCATCCATATTATTGGTTTGTCCAACACCATTTCTACCGTCATATTTCTTTTATGTCTTTTTCTCTCTTTCTTTGTATTTTGTCTCTTATACCTAAAATTATGAGGAAGAGAAAGCCTGATCAAATGATGGAGATGCTTGTTGACTGTTAAATTTCCAGTTTTGGTATTTTATTCAATTCAATTCAAAAATACTTTATTAATCCCAGAGGGAAATTGAATAATTGATTATTTTAATCTTGTCTGGGTAAACTGGTGAGAAAATCTCTGGAAGTGAAAATGATTGCCCCTTACTAAAACGGGTAGAAATCCTCATGTTGCACACGATATTTAGGAACAGTCAAGGACTTCTGATAAAGTCATTAAAAATGCAAATTGCAAAACAGTCAGAATGACTGCCAGGGCCTTTCTAACTTTAAAGAGAACAGGTAAGATATTGTTCGTTTACAGTAGCTCACTTTAAGACTTTACATGCTGTATGACCATTTTAAATCCTACGGGACTGTTTAAATGTGTGTTTTATTTACTACCTAATTAAACTTGCAGAAATGTTGGACTAATTCTTAATTTTATGATTTTTATGATTTCAAAACATCTCCTAACTGAGCCAAAGTTGTGTTGGAAAATAAAAATAAAAAGTAAGCATGCAGTGACCTGACTTGATACAACCATTGCTTTGTTTACATTAATCAATAATATATAGATTCATTCTGCATTCTGCACTGCAAAGCTAATGCCTTTTGCTCTGACAAAGGTCATTTTTGCAGAGTGTGCAGTGCATGTTTTTCCCTGGCACTGATGGTGTGAGGAGATGCAGTGAGGCAGTCTGCTGGTTCTGTTGGGTTACAACAGATGTAAAAGTTGCGGTGATGCAGAAGGGCTTATTGAAATTGTAGAGGAGAGATCTGGGGCTGTTTTTCCCAAGAGCTCCATGGAACAGGTGTAGCCTATTTGGTGTGTGTGTGTGTGTGTGTGTGTGTGTGTGTGTGTGTGTGTGTGTGTGTGTGTGTGTGTGTGTGTGTGTGTGTGTGTGTGTGTGTGTGTGTGTGTGTGTGTGTGTGTGTGTGTGTGTGTGTGTGTGTGTGTGGCATGCAGCAAATAGCTCGTTGGAGGCCTGTGTACATGGACGGCTGCTAACCAGATGAACTTACTCAATCAAGTCTAATTTGGACTAAATAATAGAAATGAACAGAATAGAGGGGACGAGAAATTAAAATCTGTTTCACAAACTCCCATTTCCTGACAAGTTGACACTAACAAAGACGAAGCTCCATTTGAACCTCCTCTGTTCAGTCACAACTGCGATTAGAAATGATTTTCTTGGCTAGAACCCTTTTTCCTGGGGGAAGCTGTGAGGAGAGAGATAAAGCAAATTACCATCTTAGCTGTGCACCTCCTAGATGATGTGTGAAAGTGAAGCATGGTGCATACAAGACTAACAATGGATAAAATGGAAAACGCTTGTATTTAAGGTAGTAATTATAGAAAAGCTTTGAAGGTGTACAGTGTTCTTATAAGGATTACTGTTTTAATCCTGAGAATTGTCATCATTACTGTCACTGCTAATTGTCAGATAGATTACAGCGGGGGGGGGGGGGGGGGGGGGGGTAGTGTGTGACAGTTTTGGAAGTAATGGGCCGTTGAGACGGACGGACGAACGGATGCTGGGAGGGCTGGATGGGTTGTCAGTCACAGATCAGGAAAAAGCTGCCCCAGGGCCAGAAATGACCAGTGACCAGAACATAAAGCTCCAGCATTCAAAGTACCGAGGGAGAGGAGATGAAAGAAACGGAGAAACACAAGAGAAGCTCGGACAAAAACGCAGAGTAGGAAGAAAAGTTAAGGATAAGCCAGGAGAATGAATTCATAAGTTATCATGGCTGACAAAGAAGAAATCCTGCCTCAGAATAATAAATTCAAAAGGATGTGTTTTGTTTTAGTTTTTATGGCCATTTAAAGTTTAAGATTGACTTAAGTGCTCTGACTTCATTTTTCATTAGCGACTTCACTTCTCTGCAGCACATTTCTTTCTGTGACAGGGAGGTGTGAGGGGACATTCATAAGTTTCCCCTTGAGGAGTGCAGGAGGCAACGCGGCTCATATGATGCAAATAAATCATTAATCTAGGCAGGTGCAGGGCCCGTTTGGGGCTACGAAGGTAATTAATAAAAGTTTAAACTCCATTTTTTATTTAACAGGCAGACATTGTAACGCAGTCATAGTTTTCTTTTATTCCCCTTTTTACTGAAACAGGAAATGAAAAGGACAGATTTGCGCTGTTAATGGCTCCTGAATGTGTTGCAGGGGAACCGCCTTATGGGCAGTCACTGATACTAATAGTTCATTGGATGTGAGCTGTTTGAGTAGAACTAGAAGATGAAAGATTTAAATGTGTTCAAAACCACATTTACCTTGTTGTTGAAAAGAGGCAGCATGGGCTGTTTTATGTACCATATCAAAAAGCCTCTTAGCTGCTTCTCTGTGTAAAACAGTAAATGTGGTGACCACAGAGAAAATGTTTGCTCTGTTTAACCCACTTCAGTGTCGTCAATATAGACGTTGGCTGTGGTAATGCTGTCTGCAACACCAGCCTGAGCAACTGCTAACGTCCCTGTTGGACGAGAGGCAAACGCAGGTGAATCTTGGATGAAGCTGGTGGTTTGGTCACTCCACCCCCCCCCCCCACCCCCCCCCCCCCCACACACACACACACACACACACACACACCAGGTTGTAATCTGGAGTTTTCCAGAGTGGGTGTGGCAAACCAGTCTTTTCATTCTAGGTTGTATTTGGCCATGTTTCAGGGCTCTTGGACTATTGTGAACTCTAAAAAAGTTTTCTGGAGCAGGGTTCCTCAACCTTAGGACCCCTTGTGCTGCATGACGTTGATGTATTTCATCACATCCTCAGAAGGACATCAAGTGCTGCAGATGCCTGTTAATTACTCATTCAATTAAGTCAGGTGTGTGGCAGCAAGAAACACGGGTGTTTAAAAGGGCAACGTGGAAAACATGCAGGACAGTGGATCCGGAAGACCAGGGTTGAGAAACACTGATCCAAAGTATTAAACTGGGAGGTTTTATCCTAGTTTACAGCTACGTTACAAAACTGAACCCTCCATTGATGTCCAATCCACCCTGATACAGGAGGTGGCGACACGCGCCCTTTCGTGTCAGCATTCTTCCGATTAGCTTAGAGCAGGGAGGGGTATTCAACTCCGGTTCTGGAGGTCCCGTATCCGGCACGTTTTAGTGGTTTCTCTGATTCAACACACTTGATTTACCTGTGCAGCAGCTCATCAGGCTCTGCAGAAGCCTGTTAATCATCTGCTAATCAAAGTCAGGTGTGTTGAAACAGAGTCAAAACTAAAACATGCTGGATACTGGACTTTGAGGACTGGAATTGAATACTCCTGGTTTAGAGCATCACAAATGGTAAATAAATGCTGGTGAGAGTGAAGTAGACAGAATTAAAACAGGATCTGCACCAGGGCTGGGCGATGCGGCCTAAAATCAATATCATGGTATATTGAGGAAACGATAAATGGACGACAACTACTCGAATGCGCAAATGCAAAGTGTCCACTAGATGAGGCTGTCACGTGAATAAGGATTCATGTGCCATGTGACTCGAGGTGGTACAGCTTAAAGGTATATGAACATCGCCAACCTACACATATCTTTTCATTGTTTTTATTACTGAATTGATTGACATGGGAAACATGATATCAGTTAGTCAGAAGTTTCGATGACGATGCATTTTTGATTTATCGTCCAGCCCTAATGAGCACAATGGCTGAAGGAATGGACTACAACAACGCTGCAGCACACCTTACGTGGTACATAGTGAAACGTTTGATGGTGTTACTTTGTGGCGATGATATTATCAGAGAGCCTCTTCCGTGGTCTCGTCACTTCTGGAAGTTGCCGGTATCGTATCGGCCCAACTGAGCCGTTTACATGCAGATGAGGTCGGTTTCCCACGGCGTTATCTGGGTGCGTCAGCACGAATACAATCAGTTTACCTTCAACAGGACTAACACGTTATCATGCATTTAAAAAACCAACTCGGTCTATTTAGGGCATAGTTTCCACTTGTAGAAGGTAGTTCTAGGTTCCTGTTAGAAGGTCCCCCTCAACATGATGCAGAGTTCTGTCATTCCAGATCGTTTCTTTGGAAAGTCCTGCTTTTCTTCAACAGCACAGAAACTCGTGAAAAGCCTTTACATTTTTGTTTTGCGTACAACAAATGTCTGATTACATGAAATATTTTCCCAAAATGCTGTCAAGAACAATACATTATGTTAGATAATTGTTTGATTCCTAATGCCAAGCTGTGGAAACAGCTTAGATTTTTTTAGAAGATGTTTTTCCTGTTTTTGCTTTTTTTTTGTCACCTCTGCGTGTTTCTGATAAGCACAGAAACATCAATATCAGACGGAGATAACCTGAGTAAATGCAGAATGCAGTTTTCATACCATAATTTCATCAATAAGGGGAAAAGCCAGGTTGGTTTGGATCGCTTTTGCCCTTCAAACATGGAATTCTCTTTTGAAAATGACTTTTTTTTTAATGAATTCAGGTTATCGTTGTCTGATATAGAAGCTTTTTTTTTATTGCTGGTCTGAAACATTTAAGGAGAAAAATACTTTTTCACATCACTCAAAATGCACTCTGAATAAGTTTTAGTTTCCACAGAGTCTAGTTGTTCAGAGATTAAACAATGCATATCAGTCACACCCATCGTCATGTGTCCCCGTTCTGTTTCTGCAGAAATCATTCCCCCGATGCAGAGCATCTCCAGCGGTCTGAAGGAAACCATAAATCCAGGAGATATGGTTCAGGATGCCATTCACAACTTCTCCCCAGCCTATCAACAGTACACTCAGCAATCCACTCAGGAGGTCGCCCAGCCCAGCACTAATGGAAAAGTGGCCACAGGCAACAAGAGCTCTCGCAAGTCTGACAAAATCATGCTGATTGCATCTGATGATGAGTTCTAGGCGTTTTTCCTGCATTATCCAGGTGTTTGTGCACTCTCCAACCTTATCTCTGACCTCCCGGGGAAACAGCTTGCATATCTGACAGAGCTGGATTGAATCCAGGTGTTTTTTCATCATCCCAGTATTTTAAATGAACTGCCTGCTTCTGTCCTGTTTCAATGATAATTTGAGCAGAAAACGTTGGTGAAATGTAGCCTTTTTTTGTGTAAATGAGTACTCAGAGGGCAGATCTGTCCCCATCTTGCTGTGATAACCTGGAAAACGACGTGTCATCTTCACTTCATCACAGACGTCTGGAGCCACGCGTTTTCTTTAAATCAAGCTGCTGGCTTTTCAGCTGCGTCCGCAATGCCGGTTTTGTTTTGTCAGTGTGCCACGCTGCTCTCTGGCTGTCTGAAGTGCGTTCTCTCTGAGTCACGTCGCTTTCAAAGAGATGATTAATGTTCGACTCCAGGTGGGAGGCGGGGAAGCCAGCGATGGCGGAGAATGGCACTTCATGGACCCTTTCTCACTCATCTGCTTGTTTGAAGTATTTGCTGAGCATTCCTCTGCGTGGTTTCCTGACAAATGAAAGGAATTATTCAAAGACACATTAGTTTTGAAGCAGGCGATTCAGACTGCGGACTGCACTTCACGATCCTTTGTATCCAGCAGAACAGGAACACATTAGCTGCATCTGTCTTCTGCAGGGTGGGAGTTCAGATCGTCTCGTTAATTCTGTCGCCGTGCTAAAGAGTCGCATTAAATCAAACTACATCTTCATTCACCACACGCTGACGATTAATATTCTTTATTTGTACTATAGTAACTGTTTTAGTAGGTTTTCTGATGAGATTCATGTCACCACTTGTGATCCCTTGTTTCAGGGATTTTTTTGTGCAAATTTTAATTAGTGTTAAACATACTTTTGAAAATGTTGTATTTGTGCTAAAAGTGTGTTTTGATTTTAGATTGTGAACATTTTATTGTATTTATTGTGTAAAGTCCAAAATATTCAGAGACAAGAGAAGCAGAGATTGTGGCTTTTTAAAAACCTCTCAGGGCTTTTGTTTTTTATTTTTGTTTTGTACATTAAATCCTATTTTTCAGTTTTTATACCCTTTGGTGCCAACAGTGGAGGTCTCTCTGGTGATGCAGACATTGGGTACGAAAGGCTTTTCAGTAGTCTAGTTTTTCTGGGTCTCTCTTGGCTTGAATGTAAAATAAATCCACTGTTGGGTCTAATTTGTCTGCATTGAACTGACTGAACTTTTTAACGAAGGGAGAGCTTTATTTAAAGGTACAAAAACAGACACAGCAATACTATCAGGAATAATTTAGCATATTTTAAATCAAAGCAGAAAAATACAGATTTCATTTGAACATGAGGGTAGCTCATCAAGGACAAAACATGTAAATAAATGGCTGTAAAACAAAAATAATTTAGAGGTTTTTTTTTATATACTTACACAAAACCTTGTAAATAAATATGTGAGCTGATGAGGACAAGTTTAAAGGTACATATTCAGTTTGTTCCTGTAAAAGTTACACCGAGTCTGTCTTTAGGCTCCACCGTGCTGCTGTGAGACCACAGAGTCATTCTCTTTCATACAAACCGAACCAAAACAATCGGACTGACATTCAGCTCGTTACATCTATTTCTATTCTTCACTTCAACACCACTACAATAAAACCGACTCTGCTCTTAGCTTGGGTCAAACACAGCAGGACTGTGGAAGCTAACGCGTTGAAGCTTATTGGTTTAAAGAAAAAATAATCTAATTCTAGTCAAAATGACAAAAAATAAACATTTAGTTTTTCCACATTTGTGGCTTCTGTTGATTTAACACAATCTTAAACACGGTTATTAAAAATATTCTTTGACTGAAGGAGAAAAGAAAAGTGTTTGGACCAAGTTCAGTAAACATTTACAGAAGGAAACATTAATGTTGACCACCTTTTAAATAATTCAGTTCTTATTTCTTTTATGAACCGGGTCACACTGAATAACTGAGTACTTAATTCACCCAGAGGAAGGTTTGTCATTTATTTGGCAAATACAGACATATTTAGATTAACATAAAAGTGATAGTGAATATTTAGGTGTGCTTATAGAAATCAGTCAGCTCATTATGAAATCTGACATTAACATTAGTTTGTTTTGCACGTTGACCACTAGAGGTCACTGCAGTGCTTTTCATCTGTTCCCTGAACGTGTCAACAGTAAACCAACGGGAGGTTCAGGACTGGAGGAACTAAAATAATGTTCAGGTAGAAGTTATAAAAGAATTGCCTTCATGTTTGTTTGAATCTTTAAACGTCTGTTCTGCAGTGACTCGTTTGGGTGAACATGCAGCTCTGTTCTACATTTAATCAGTGGAAAGGAAATTATGGATGCAGATTTAAACTAAACCCAAAATGCATTTCTGATAACTAAGCTGCTTTAGTGCTTTTCATTTGAGTTCTTATCCATTGTTTACATTCACTCATTTCTGTTTACTACAAATGATTACCTGCTGCCTGCATTTAACCCAAGTCACAGTTAGTCCAATTAATCTGCAGAGATTAAGTCCATAGGCTATAAATGGTCAAAGGCTGGCTTATGGAATCCCATTGTAACTGTGAACACGGATTTAGTCAAAGTGTCTGTTGGAATATATTTAGACTTTAGAGACTGATGACATAATCACACAATTCCAGGATAGTACGAGACATAAATATAGAAACATATGTTACATATTCATATACTGTGTATGTGGACGGTATAAAACTTAGTAAATGAAAAAGAAGAGGACACTAACAGAGATCAGGTGAAAGTACAAATTGAGAGTAAGAACACAGCAATGCCCCTGCTGGGAAGAACAAAACCAATCCCAGCAGGTTGTACAGCAGCAAAGTTCCCCATACGGTCTGTTTATGGCAGCTAAGGAAGAGGGGGGAGAGCAGTCGTGTCCTCTCAGCCACGAGAAAATCCTGACATGGACAATCTCTACTGACTTCACTCCCAATCAGGAATGGATCCTCCAAAGGAACAGCTCGACTTCAAGTTCATTTCACAACTAAATATTACAAAAGACAAACAAAGCATTTACTGCATTTAGTCATCGTGACACCACTTGATTCATTTTGTTTAATAAGGGGTGGGCGTCAGGAGTTCTCTTGTAGAAGAGTGTGTCAGAAAGCAAGGCTGTGAAACCCCAACACCGGCAGCAGCGCTTCTCGTGACCCTGACGCAGGAATGATTCCACTCTGGACGGACGTTTCATCCCACGCACTGGGAGCTTCATCACCTCAGATCTGTAATATACAGGACTGTTTTTGAAGGCTGCTCTCATAATTATTTATCCAATATGGATTACCCACCAAACTATAAGTGCTGTAGTTTACCAGCATTAGCTTAGACCTGCACTACGTTACACATTTAGCCACCCTCATGTAAGCCCCACTAAGTACAGAAACACAACGGTGTGGAATCATTTATACTGCAACCTTTACAGTTTTAAGTGCTACGAGACAAATCCTCCTAATCCAAACAAATCTTCAATCCCACACAGAATCTACACTTTGGTGATCCCAGATGTCAGAAACTGGATGTTAAAGTTGTTTTTATTTTTAGATAAAACAAAGAAAGGCGTGACTTGGGAGTCGAGAGGCTACAAACGCAACAACGGATTCACAACCAGCTCCCGTTGAACAGCCTTTCGTGTCTTTAACGACACTTTGATTCATTCTCGGCTGAAGCTGCCCTCCAGATAGATGCACCTAATGATTGGATCTAAGTACCTGTTCTAACTTTTGTGCACATGCCAGCAGAAAGAAAAGGCACACGCTTAATGTCAAGTCAGTCCAATCCAGCAAAGGGTTTAAAACGGTTAACAACCTCCACTGGACTAAGTTATGAACTAAACTCTGTAGATGTTAATTGGCTTTCTGCAATGAATTTCTACCATTGCGGCCCAAATTGTCATTTATTACATTTACAAGCCTTATCTGGCCAAGTCCAAATGTACAAACTCACTACAGTGTGCTCCAAATATAAAAATCTGTTTTTACAGATTGACTCGCTGCAGAACACATCAGTGGAAAAGGCTTTTGGTTGTGCAAAAGTGACCTCAAAGAGGCATCCATCTGGCCTTTAACCCAGAGGTGATCAAATCTCTTCTAAGGCAACCACATCTACTGAAGGCCCAAATTACACATTTGTGTACATTTACAATAAGAAATTCTAATCTGGTAATCTTAATCCAAGGATCAGAGCTGTCCTACACGGCGTCTTCACATCGGGGCATCTCAACTGGATGACACGTTCCTGCCGTCAGTCATGGAGGTCGGGTCAGAGAGGCCCATACTACTGGTGCTGGAGGTGAGGGGGGTGTGAACAGTGTGCAGACAGTGTAAACTGTGTGAAAGACAGAGGCGGGGGCAGAACTGTGAATGCGGCATAAGATCACATAGAGCTTGCCATCCCATCCCTCAGTCCGAACACTACTGAGCGTCCTCTCAGTACGGGATGAGTGGGTTCAGGCCGGGTCAGGACCAGGCGGGATACACAGGCGCCCAGTCCTGATGAGCACTAGGACTGAGCCGAGAATGGAGTTGGGCTGGAGTTGTTGTGGTTGGAGGACTTGACGATGGTGATGACGCTGGTGGTGGCCACCTTGCCCGGTGACATCGGCCCTCGGGTCACAGTCCTGGCGAAGCACTGCAAGGCCTCATACTTGGCCCGCAGTGCGTCCAGCTCCAGCCTCATGCTGGCGTTCTCCCGAGCCAGCTTGTCCACCTCCTGCTGCAGCTCTATCTTTTGTCTCTCGAGCTCCTCTTTCTGGGTGACACGTTTGATGCGACAGCTAGCAGCGTAGCCGCGGTTCTTTAGGGTCCTTCGACGCTGCTTCAACCGTACAACATCCTCCTTAGTGAGCCCGCGGAGGTGCTGGTTGAGCTCCCGCACAGACATGGCCACCAGCTCGTCGTCGCTGAGCGCCGGGGCATTCTCACCCACCTCCTTCTTGACCTGCAAGATGTGAGGAGTGGATGAGCTTCATGTGCAAACGACTAGAAGATATCTCTGAAACTTCACACGCTTACCTTTAAAGCTTTGCTCGGCTTAAAAGGAGTCGTCATTCCCTGCATGCAGAAAACTGACCAGAATCTCCCAGAAGCTGCTCTGAGGATAGGAGAGAAAAACTAAGTACCACGTTACATGTGATGAAACACTGGCTCAGATGTTGCTACGGTTACTAGATCTCAGCTCCATAGGTTTGCTGATGTTTTTATGTCACTGAACATAGAGATGTCTTGTAGGAAAAATATAAACCACCTTGCAGACAGTTCATTTCAGTATGTTCAGATCCAGATGGAAACTTTTAGAATTACAGTCTTAAAACACCTTCTTCAGCAGATTAAATGGAATTGGACAAAAGTAAATCAAAGATTCATTATTCTGAGCTCCGACCCACATGTGTCCGTCAGACATCTTTAGCTGTTTTGTGAATATTTTTGCAGCAGGTCTCGGGCTGCTGTGACTCAAAAGACCCTGAGTTGCTTGCACAGCTTGTTTCATGTGAATGTAACTGAGTAAATATAACAATTTTAACAGGGTTTTAGATCATGACTGATTGAGTTTGTTAGGGTTCCGTTTTTTCTTTCAAAATGACGATGCTCAGAGGTGTCATTCTTTAGAAATGGTAAATGGCCTATATTTGTAAAGCACCTTCTAAGGTTCTACAACCCCACATGGTTCTTCACAACACAATAAGTCATTCACCCAGCCCTAGAAGTCTGCCAGAGGAGAAAGTTGCTTCAGACGGCAGGATTTGGAGTCTTAATTCCTGATATTCGGACATCTAATCTCTGATTGGCTAATGGCAACTTAAGTCCACCACTGACTCCATTTGCTCTGCAACACTGATATGCAATCAAATAACACAGGCCTGAAGGAGTTCTGCCGTGTGGTGGTTGCTAATGCTAACGGTTAGCTTCTATTAGACAAAACATTCTCTGCTGTTTCCTGGACGCTAATCCAACAACAGCACTCCCCGTTGTGAGTCAAGATGAGTCCATGAATGTTAAATGACAGCATTAGCATTTTTCTCTGTTTCCTATCAGAAGCTAATACAGGACATGGGGGTAGAAGACTATTTTCATGTTCAGCCTGCATTTTCAACTCAGAGTGACCGATCATTTTCAAAATAGATAAAAAGATTAAAAAAAAAATAGTGTTTCTCAGTGAACTTGCTCTTTAAAAAATGGCTAAATGTCAGTACTAATCAGTTTTATTGTACTGGTATTCATAATTGCTTCTTCCATGTCAGTCTTTGACCGGTGGAGGCTCCAGTTCAGAGAGAAACAATGAGTAAGGTTGAGATGGCTTTATTGAAACACCATGTCACCTGAACCCAGAAACAACCAATCTCCCTCTCTACAACAGCTTGCTGCCTTTATAACATCTGTGATTACTGGAAGAGACCAAGAAAAGGGTAATCAGAAAACAAAAACCAAACAATATTTACATACACCTAACACCAAATACATTAAAATGGTACCAGTAAATCTTTACATAAATACAATTCATTAAACTTAAACAAATCTAAAGTCAATCAACCAAGTAAACTTAATTTAACATAACTTCTCTAAGCCTCACCCCTCCTTCTCTAAATGGTAGGCTCCAAGAGCTTTTCAGCAGCACTTTGGGTTTGCATCTCTCTTTGCTGCCCTGCCCTGTTAAGGAGACAAACCAGGAAGAGGTGAGTGTATACTTTCAAATCATATCTTAAGGATTAACTCATAATTTAAGCAAACACAGTAATTAAATATAACTGACATTCTTACTCCATTCCTAATAGGAAGGATGGCCAATCCCTCCGGCTTCCAGGAATGCCCCGACACAATCAAAGAACCAAAAAACAAACAATTTATCTTTGACGCAATCCTACATAACATAATACCAATAATCGCATTCCTTTTCAGTGATGGAACCTCTGGTCTCCTATCACATCTAAAACAGATCAGCAAAAACAGCACTGACGCTGACGTTCCTCTGTCCAAGGCTTACGTCATGCACATGATATCAGTATTTTGGCTTGCTTTGTGCCACAGGTGCCAGAAGATGGCAGTAGGACACAATAAAACCCTAACAGAACAGTGGTCACATACAAGCAGAAAGGAGTAACCTTTCTCCCCGTTTACTTTGTGCTTTAACGAGTTGGTGTTAGGCCGTTCTGTGCTCATCATCGTACATCCCCATGGGGGAACACACTTCACTTGCTGCTGCTGGGGCTCAATAAATAAATAAAACAGGCTAAGCTGTGATCCAAACATCCCCTAAGGCTCCATTTCAGAACCTGCAGACCGGCTCAACTCGGAGTGCACTGTTCCATGCGCCACAGCTACCATGGCAACACCCTGCAGATGGGCGTGGGAGCATGAGTCACATGGTCACTAAAAGGGTAAACATGTCTCATTCATAACCACAGCACAGCCCATAAATAGTACCAAAAACAACTATACCAGGAACCTTATGGCTTTAAAGCTTTTGCTGATTTAATCTATGAATTGGAGCCTGCTTGTATCTCTGTGGAGGGTTTGATCCTCTAAGTTGATGTCTCACTGCTCTACTTCCTCATCACACATCAGAATAACATTTACAGTTACGTTGAACTCGCGGGTGGAAAATTCCAGGCTGTGCAGTGTCACAGGGAAATAGTTTCCTTTATAGTCACTGATGTATTTTTACTGTTAGACAATGTAGTCTATCGATTTAAGGCCGTCTCTCTCTGGCTGGATCCTCTTACGCTGGGCTTTCCTGAGCTGCTCGATGCCCTTATTTAACTCCGCCGGATATATTTAGCTCCCACTGCTGACACAAATTTCTGCCAACTGAACAGTTTAGGTGCGTATGCGATAAGTGATACATCAGCGTTGTGAGCTGCTGGCTTCATGGAAGACGCTAGGAGTGACAGTCCAATTTGGGACGGCAATCATGATTTTAAAATTTAGCCGTCACTTTTTACGACGGCCACCGTGCAATGAAATTGAAAAACAACCCCTCAAATGGGAGAAACTGCTCTTAAAGAGGCTTGAATGGGAAGTTAACTTGCCAAACACCCAGAAAGTTCAAAACAGAGAAAATGACTGTTTAGGAAAGGAACATCTGGCAAGTTCTCCAGCGTCCTTGCTGGAAATAACGGCGTAATTTAGATGTCAGAAGCTTTAAAGAAAGATGAAGGGGTAATATTAAACATTTTTTGACTGCAACAGGCTAAGTTTGAGTTGCGTCAGAGGGGGTCCCTCGGTGTACTCCCTGTGGAGCTCATGGAGGAAAGAAATATGCTGTAAGGCCTTGGTATGGGGGGGGGGGGGGTCGGGTTGCTTCCTTGAAATGTTTCTGCAGTGTGCTTACATCTTTGTTACTTGTTGAAAGGCAAAGTTTTCATAATCTCAATACTAACGTTTCCTCAGAGGAAAAGCTGCCAAATCCGCTCACACAGACGAGACAGACAAACAAAACTCGGTTGCTCCAGAAAACAGCTCACGTCAGGTTTTTTATCGGCGAGCGAGCCCGGGTAAACGCCACAGAGGAAAGCCACAGATGGCGAGTACAAAACAAAACCACATTCCAGAGCGAGCACACATGTGCAAACCCCTCTCAGAAGAGAAAACACGCTCTCTGAATGTGTGCCGCCATGCTAGCAGCCATGGGGGTGGGGTGCAGATTACCTCCACTTGTAAAACAATGGCTGCAAAATTCATAAGAAGTCTGGAATTCAGAAGTGTCTCGCATCCACTGCTTGTACAAACAAATCAAGGGCAGCCTGTGTGTGCACATGTGCAAGTAAAGAGGAATCCAAAACAAGTTATTAACTCTCTGGTTGTTGTGTAGGATGTGTAATACGGTTTCATGCAAGAGGATAAAAGATTTTGATGCAACTCCTTTAAAGATAAGAATCTGAAGGCGCGGTCTGAAACTAAAGGAATTTTCAGTTTATGTGCAGAAAGAGTTTAAAGCTAATTTTACCACTTATTAAGATACAATGTGTAGTTTTTACAATTAATCTCTGGCAATTTCCGTTAAAATGTTGTTGAAACTGAATTAAGTGACGCCCAGTTGTTGAAAAATATTGGCAGCTTTGTAACATATAACCATAAAAATGAAGTCTAAAATACATGGGAGCGGGTCTAAGCCTCTGGGCGATGCCATATTAGATGACATGTTTCCTTCTAAGGAAGCCTGTGAGGACAAAATGCATTTACAGATTTTTAACGAACTGTTACAAAACTTTCGATATTCATAAACATTGTTGTTTTACACATTTACCTCTTCACTCGTTGCCAGTGATGAAAGGGAGTCTCATGGGCTTGACATTTTGCTTGAGGTTGCGCTCCCAGGGATTTTTGACCCTAATGGCCATCTGTTGGTAAGGTTTTACTCAAATACAAAAATACTGCTTGCTTGCAATTATTTAGGCATGTACTGCCCCCTATAGCCAGGGAAAATACGTACTGTCACTTTAAATGAAAAAAATACAAGAACTTTTATGAGAAGCTAAAAATATTACAAAAAGCTTCCTGATATCTTTTTATTAATAAAAATAAGGAACGTCTTAAGGGAACATTCCTTATTAATAATTGCCTTAAGCCACTGATAACAGTCTAATGACACAAACCATTCCTGTTTGTAAAGTTGCATGATGTCATGGCTGCCCAAACTGCAGGTCCTTAGACTGTATGCAACACTCATCTAAAAACGCTTTTCTAGCATGTTTCCAAAGCTAGAGAGGACCGTCTCCCTGCTGAGGCTCACAGTGCTTTAGGCTGCTCTTTCTCCAAAACGGCACATTTGGTGGGATACTCAGTGAAGGAAATAGAAAGCATTTCTGTGGGGTGAGTCATGCTGTTTACGGGTAAAAGCAACGACCAGCGGCAGGGAATCACACCCTCCTGATCTGACATTTCCTGGAAAATCCCGTTGTTTCATAGGGAGGAAGGAAAAGTACAGAGAACCTTGGAAATGGTTGGCATGATCAACCGGAACGTTTGAGCGGAAAGGGAGGAGGACTCACCAAAAAGATACTCTCACAGAAGCTGGGATTCAAAACATGTCAAGAATGCAAGACCCAAACGAAGTACATTAATGTCCTGTTTTATAATTTCAATTAAAACAAACGA